AGGAATTAGAAAAACATAAAGATGAACAAAACAAAGTGTGAAAATGGTATTAAGTGAGAAATTTAGAGCTACGAATGCTTACATTAAAAAACAAGAATGAGCCCTGGCCAGTTTTGCTCAGTGGATAGAGCTTCAGCCTGTGGACTGAAGGGTTGATCCCCAGTAGGGGGCGTGCAGGAGGCAGCTGATTGGTGATTCATCATTGATGTTTCCCTCTCCCTTCCCTTCTGAAATCAATAAAAATATGTTAAGAAGAAAAAAAAAAGAATGAGTTCAAATCAACAAGCTAACTACAACTTTAGGAACCAGAAAAAGAACAAACTAAAACCAAAGCTAACAGGAGGTAGGAAACAATAAAGATTAGGAAAGATTAGGAAAACAATTGTAAAAAATAAATGAAACTATAAATTGGTTCTTTGCAAAGATCAACAAAATTGGCAAACCTTTTGCAAGACAAACTAAAAAAACCAAAGACTCAAATTTCTAAAATGAGAAAGTGGGGAATTTACTACTGGCTGTGCAGGAATATAAGAACACTGTACATCAACAAATTAGATAACTTAGATGAGCCCTGACCGGTTTGGCTCAGTGGATAGAGCATCAGCCTGTGGACTCAAGGGACCCGGGTTCGATTCCAGTCAAGGGCATGTACCTTGGTTGCGGGCACATCCCCGGTGGGGGGCGTGTGGGAGGCAGCTGATCGATGTTTCTCTCAGATGTTTCTAACTCTCTATCCCTCTCCCTTCCTCTCTGTAAAAAATCAATAAAATATATTTTTTAAAAAAATAGATAACTTAGATGAAATAGACAAATTCCTAGAACACAACTGTCATGACTGCATCATGAAGAAACAAAGTCTGAATAGACCTATAACTAGTAAGGAAATTGAATCAGTAATTTAAAAATCTGATAAAAGCCCAGGACCTAATGTCTTGTGAATTGTACCAAACATTTAAAGAATTATTTACCAATACTCAAATTTTACCAAAACAAAAAATTAAAGAAGTAACTCATTTTATGAGGCCGCATAACCCTGATACCAAAGCCAGACAAAAAACACATTAAAAGAAGAAACTACAGGCCAAAACATTTTATAAATATTGATGCCAAAAATCCCCAACAAACTACTCAAAAACCGAATTCAGTAGCATATTGAAAGGATTACATACCAAGTGGGATTTAATCCTGGAATGCAAGAATGGCTCAACGTGTGGAAATTGATCAATGTCATAAACCACATTAACAGAATAAAAGTATGTGATCATCTCGCAGAAAAAAGCATTTGGCAAAATGGAACATTTTCATAATTTAAAAAAAAAGAAGTCCAATAAACTAGGAATAGAAAGAAACTACTTGAGCATAATAACAGCCAACCAGCAACAAGCATTCTCAGTGGTGAAGTAAAGGTGTTTTCTAAGATCAGGACCAAGGCAAGGATGTCTGCTTTTACCACTTCCATTCAATACAGTAGTGGAAGTTCTAGCCAGGGCAATTAGGCAAGGAAGACAACAAACATCCAAATTGAAAAATAATTGAAATTTATCTCTGTTGCCCTAACCGGTTTGGCTCAGTGGCTAGAGCATCAGCCTGCGGACTGGAGGGTCCCACATTCAATTCCAGTCTAGGGCATGTACCTTGGTTGCGGGCACATCCCTAGTAGGGGTTGTGCAGGAGGCAGCTGATTGATGTTTCCCTCTCATTGATGTTTCTAACTCTCTATCCCTCTCCCTTCCTCTCTGTAAAAAATCAATAAAATATATTTAAAAATTTTAAAACAAAGAAGTGTAGAGTCTGAGAGTTAAAAAAAATTATCTCTGTTTGCAGGTGATATAATCTTTTATGTAGAAAACTAAAGATTCCACAAAAACAAAAAACACTGCATTGTTAGAACTAATACAGAGTGCCCCCCAAAAAATGTATACACACACTTTGAATAATTATAAAGGCAGTGTTTATTAAAATGTATTTCATTTTCAAAATTGAGCTATCAGCTGTTAAAGTGTGTATACATTTTTTGTGGGGGGGGGACATCCTGTATCGTTAGATGAATTCATCAAAGTAGCAAGATATAAAATTACACAAAACAGTTGCATTTCTATACACTAACAATGAAAAGGAAGTTAGGAAAACAATTCTATTTACAACAGCTTCAAAAAACAATAAAATAGAACTAAACGAATTAGTCAAAAGACATGTATACTGAAAATTATAAAACATTAAAGATGACACAAATGGAAAGACATCCCATGCTTATGAATTGGAATATTTAATACTAAGATGTCCATACTATCCAAAGCAATCTACAGATTTAATGCAATTCCTAACAAAACCCCAGCAGCAGTTTTTTTCTCTCTAAAAAATAGAAAAACTCATCCTAAAATGCATGTGGAATCTCAAGAGATCCTGAATAGCCAAAACAATTTTGTAAAAGAACAAGTATGGAGGCACACTTTCTGATGTCAAAACTTAACTACAAAGCCATAGTAATCAAAAGAGTGCAGTACTGCCCTAGCCAGTTTCGCTCAGTGGATAAAGTGTCGGTGTGTGGACTAAAGGGTCCCAGGTTTAATTCCGGTCAAGGGCACATGCCCGGGTTTTTGGCTTTATTCCCAGTTTGGGGTGTGCAGGAGGTAACCGATCAATGGTTCTCATCATTGATGTTTCTATCTCTCCCTTCCTCTCTGAAATCAATTAAAATATATATTTTTTAAAAACGTGCAGTACTGACATACAGACAACCATGTACACTAGGTATAGAATAGAAAACCCAGGAATAAACCCTCACATACATGGTCAAGTAATTTTTTAAAAAATATATTTTATTGATTTTTTACAGAGAGGAAGGGAGAGAGATAGAGAGTTAGAAACATCGATGAGAGAGAAATATCGATCAGCTGCCTCCTGCACATCCCCCACTGGGGATGTGCCTGCAACCAAGGTACATGCCCTTGACCGGAATCGAACCTGGGACCCTTCAGTCCGCAGGCCGACGCTCTATCCACTGAGCCAAACCGGTTTCGGCGGTCAAGTAATTTTTGACAAGGGTGCCAAGACCATTCAATGGAGGAAAGGTCAGTCTTCTCAACAAATGGTGTTGGGAAAACTGGAATCCACATGCGAAGAACTGAAGTTGGACTGTTTTATCTAACACCATATACAAAAATTAAGTTAAAATCAATCAAAGACTTAAATGTAACACTTAAAACTACCAAAGTCTTAGAAAGGAAATATAGGGCAAAAGCTTCCCCACATTTGGCAATGATTTCTTGGATATGACATTAAAGATGAAGGTAACAAAAGAAAAAATATGCAAATGGGACTACTAGAAAATTTTAAGTTTGTTCATCAAAAGTCCATTAACCCTGGCCGGTGTCTCTCAGTGGTTAGAATGTCAGCCTGCACACCAAAGGGTCATGAGTTCAGTTCTCTGTCAAGGGCATGTATCTGGGTTGCAGGTTCATGCAGGAGGCAACCAATCGATGTGTCTCTCTCACATTGATGTTAGAAATTAAACAACATATTCAACCAATGGAACAAAGACAAAACCACAAGGGAAATTAGAATCAATGGAAAAAATATCCTCTGTGTGGATTAACAAAAAAACCAATCAACTGAGTAGGCTATAGGCCGGGTAGCTCAGTTTGGTTAGATCATCGTACCGATATATCAAGGTTGTGGATTCAATCTCCAGTCAGGGCACATTCAACAAGTAACCAATGAATGCATAAATAAATG